TAACACTTTAAGCGACGCAAATTTGAACACAAACGGTGAAGACAGGATAACAATACTCTCAGGCGTATATTCTTTTTAAAAAAAACAACAAAAATCACTGCTCTTGCGAGGAGCTGAGGCAGTCCCCTTGAACAGTATATCTGTATCAAACTGGCCCCCAGGTGTCCAAGATATGCTTACCAGAAGGAACAGCACCATGTCTACTGAATTGAAGCAAAAAATGCGGCCAAATTTTTTCTATTTTTCAAAATAAAGATGTCATGACTATGCGCACATGATTATCATGACCTTTTTCTTATTAAAAAGCATATGACAAACATTTTTTTGGGGGGGGGTGGTGCCAAGATAGATGAATAACAATACATTTTTTGGAGTAAATAATCTTTTTCACACCAGTTCAGCGCTACGGCACTCCACTCACGTTGTTTATATTTTATCAAAATTATTTCTCAACATTTGCCCACAAGTTAATCTGTTCTTTTTTTTTTTCTTGTGTTGCGTTGAAGGACTGTCATTGCCTTCGCGGACAAAAGCTTGTGATTATTAATGTTATCACTGCTTCTCGGGCATGCGTGGTCCTCCAGGGTGCTTATTTTAATTCATCTCGCTCACCTTGTATTGTGCCATTAATCTAAATAGATGTGCGGTTGTCTTCTCTTTGCACCATCATCAGATTCAATTCTCCCAAAAGCGCCCGCCTCCTGTCCTCTCAGACCCATCCCCACGCGAGAACCTTGAAACAACATCACTCTCATAGCTCGTCTCATTTCCCATGACCCTGCAAAAGATTATCTGCGGGGATAATTAAGACCTGCTGAATAATTAAGTGGGCAAAAATGGTAATTCATGAATAATAAATGTGTTTATGATGGGCCGGGGCGTAGAATGGAGGTTGCTTCGGCGATGATGGGAAGATTGATGCGGCCGGCCTAGATATGTGAGGCTCTCTATCTCTCCGGCGAGCTCGCTGCTGACTGCGAAGACGCTCTGATTCATCAGCACGCTCGTCGGCGTTTTGTGTGCGTAATGGCACATTTATAGAAAATATACACTCGGTTCCCGATGGCAGTGGAATTGAAGTGGTTCCTTTCATTGTTCGTACTGTAACCGTTTATTGTTTCCAAGTACCACCTCGAATAATACTTGACCGTTTAAGTGCGGCGTCGTCTTGAGATAAGAGTTTTAATTCATTCCGTGGGTCACTCGTAGGTCGAGGCACTTCTGTACCAAGGTTATTATGGTTGACTAAAACTAGTGAAATTAAAAACAAGAACGCTTTCAAAAAATGATCCTCATTCAACCTAATCATGAATAACTAATATCATTCATGAACTTTCGGGGTACATTTCAAATGTAATTATTTCAGCATTACTTTGTGGCTGTATGGAAGAAGCAAGGTTGAACAGCCGTTTCGGCATTGTAGTTTACTTGGTTCCATGTCACTTAGTAATTTTTTTTTTATTTTTTTTTTTTTAATCTTGCACTTGACAAATGCTCCAGACGAATTAACACTAACTGAAAAATAAATAAAATAATAATAATAGTAATAAGAAAAAAATTATCTTTGTTTTATGTTTGGAGGGTGGGCTTAAAAAGTGTCAGCCCCTTTCTAGCTGCAGCGAAGCCTTTACTTTTTTAAAAAATATAAGCATATGAAATCTCCCCACATGTATACACTCACGCACAATAGCCCAATATGCAGCACGTTTCATGTGTATTCTTCACAACGGAATCTCCTCCGGCCCGCAGCAGCCCAGACCCGTGTGATTACATTTGTGATTAGCGCCACCGAGGCCAGTTCTGCCTGAGTGCTTTCCTCGCCGTAGCTTAGCCGGCGGACAAATGAGGCATCGAGGCGGCGTTCTCCACCGATGCGACTTTGGAGGTCACTAACAGGAAGGAGGCATTCATCACTCTGACACGTGGATGCTGCACGCTGGGGGTGCTCCAACAACAACGCAATTATAGTGTTAATCCGCCGAACATGTTTGTGTGCCGTGTAGGATTAATGCACTCGGGTTAACGCTGATACATATGAATATATACATTTTTTTTCTCTTGTTTTTTTACAGAGCAGTGCTGGGTTAGCTGTTTCACCCAATTTGGGTTACTCCTAACCCAGCAGTTAAGCGTTTAAGTCACACTTAAAATTTCACTGCATATGGATCCTCTTCCACTTGGTTGACAGTGACACTTCATTGACCCCATCACCTCACACACACACAGTGGATAAGATGATAGAGCAGCTTGTCGACCTTTGAACTTCACCCTCAAGCCGACGGGGTCAACTCGGCGGGCTCTTAATTGAATGTCTCGGCCAAACATTGATTGCGTTCGCTCGTCAATGTCTCTCACGTCTACGCCGGAGACAGCGAGCTCAGCTTGGTGTGTTTGGGACATGACACTTAACCACTCTGTGTGTGTGTGTGTGTGTGTGTGTGTGTGTGTGTGTGTGTGTGTGTGTGTGTGTGTGTGTGTGTGTGTGTGTGTTACTGGAGATGATATATTGTAACAGACTCTGCTGTCTCACAACACACATTATGATCTGACTGGAATTTTACTTGTTGGCCAATTGTTCAATAATCATCTCTTGTATTGAAAATTAAAGAGCTCTTTATTCGCACACTCAATATTAGGCTCGCATTGCAAGAAAATAAACTCTGTCTTTTTAAATATTATTTTTAACACCAGTGGAGAAGCTTTGTCCGTTTTGAAAACTGAATCAACAGCGCCTCTGCTGGTCCCAGCTAAGTACTGCACTCCATTACCTCATTGTAATTTTTAAAATTGGGGAACAAATTAACATTTGGACTGTTAATAATCATGAAAATATTTTTTTGTCTGGGTCGGCTTTTTTTCTAGTGTAGCTAAACGGTAACACAAATTTTTGCCAGCTGCCGAAGAAGCTCCCCCATATGGAGTTGGCATAAAACTGCAAGGTTTCACGCAGCAGGTTATTTATAACCGTCTTGCTCGAGATGCATGGCCTCGGCGCCTGATTAGTGTCTCCCCTCCTCTCCTCTCACTTCCCTGCTCACACTCTATCATCTTGTAGGCAGAATAATTGTGTTTAGCCACCATCCTGAGATCTCGGTGATTATCCAGATGTCGCCGAGACAATCTTCCGTATGGCCGTGGCACGTACTGTATGTATGTACAGATGGCCGGATAATTGCGGGAACACGATGAGAATCGCCCTGCTTTTTAATCACATTCAGGATTTTTTTTTTCTTTTCTTATGGTGGGCACTCGCCACTTGATGCCTCACATGATACATTTCGTATATTTGCATGAAAGCCACCGGTCTCATTTAGAGTAGGCGTTAGCATCATCTCATAAAATCCTGTTGATATTCTATTTATGTAACATCACGGAGTGCTGATATATCAGACGCATCGAAATGTTTTTCTGTTTGGCTTGACGGTGGAAATGTTTGAAATGTTGACAAGTGGAAATGATTGCCATCAAAATGATTTATTTATGTGTGTTTAACACTCTGAGCATTCAAAGTAGCTAGTAGCTAGCTAGTTTACTACTAGCTTACCGTATTTTACTGCTCCACTGCTATAAATGTTATCTGTGCTTGCAGGAAAATATAAGTCAATATTCTCAGTCCCAGATGCATTTATTTATTTATTTATTTGCTCATACATTCTTTCCGCTTCAGGGCATGGTTATTAAGTGCTGTAATCCGTTTGGCAATAAATCATGAACCCTCGAAGTCCAGGATCAAAGAAAAAGTCCCGACGGAAAAGGAAAGAAAGGAAGAAATTGGAGGTACATGGCATTCTCTCTCTTGAGTTACGCCATTTTCTCTAATAGTGTATAGGGTTGTGTCTATGGCTTTTTTCAACTGCAAAAAGTAACTGGCATTTGTTTGAGTAAGGCATCTCATTTGTGAAAACGGGCGATGCTAGACTTGTCATTGTCCATTGATTGTTGTTAACTCTCGCATTGGCAGATTCAATTCATATGACCTTTGTCTGTTAGATGACATGCATTTATTTTGGAAGAGACAACTTGTAAAACAAGCATGACTGCTGCTCCCCCTGGTCTGTTAGAATGGAGGCAGTTGAGTCTTAGCAAAGCGGGTGCACAGTTTCCTGCGTGGTTCATGAGCACCCACTCTCCACTATCTAAAGATAAATCGAGGGTGTCATGTGATTAATGGGGCATGGAGAAAGGGGAAAAGTTACTGCATACATTTGCATTCATCTGTGAGAAATGTCCCCCGTGAAGTTTTCTGGTGAAATCATTGCATGTCCTAAAGTACAGTTAAAAAATGTATCTAAGAGAAATAACAGGAGGCCTCAATCCACAAAAATCCCTTTTTTTTTCCTCGCTCTCTATTTTTTGTGTAAATATTTAAAAAATGAATCGCTGAATTACTATCTGATACTTTTCTTTTTTGAAGCCCTTGAAACGAAATTAACCACAAAAATATGTATTTCCCTGCTGCGGGAGTAATAAAGTTTTCTTCTTCTTGTCCAGACTCCACTTTAACATGAATGTGCTTGGTTGGTTAATTTCCAGCAGAGCATCGTCTCCAGTTATAAGAGGGTGCTCACACTTGTGCAACCAAATTATCTCCGTTGTTTATTTTTACTGACCTTCTCTGAAATTTAAAAATAATAAAAACCTCCATAGGAATAGCGACCTCTGTTGGTAAAAACTCCAACTGTATGACTGATGTCGCGCAGCTGACACGCGCCAGTGTTTATCTCAGCTAAAGTTGCTTCCGCACGTCTCTTGCGCATGCTCACTCCCTCTCCCAGTTGTGGTTAAAAAAAAAAAAAAGTTGGGGGGGTCGACAAGTACACGCCGGCTACAAGCGCATCCCCCCGGAGAAGAGAGTGATGAAGGGGGCTGCAGTTGTCATAGCAACGCCTGGGTGGTGGGGGTGGAGCTATAGCAAGTAGGACCAGCGAGTTTGTTTTGTTATTGAAGGTCACGTGCGAGGCCAAGCTCCGCCTTCTCGTTCCCTCCCCCCTCCTCCGTCCCCAAACAGCTTCAACCGTGGAGCTGCATTAGTCGATCACTTACTACAAAATGGCTGCACAGGCTCCGACGCCGCCGCCGCTGCCGCAGACGACGAAAAGAACGAGAAAGGACGACTGAGAGCTTCGACGGTAGGACTTTTTCCCTCCCTTTTCGGCTCGAGCTTCTCTTCTCACACGAAGCTTTTCGCTCGTCCAAAATGCGGAGTTCCGAGGGCGAATACGTCAGCTAGCCCGCGAATCATGGAAGAATGTTTGCAAAGCAGCCTACTTTTGACACCAAGTCCTAATGAGCGCCTTTGTAAAAATTTGAAGCAATATATATTTTTAAAATGCTCCTCGCTCTTTTTGCTCCTCGGACGGGCAATCTTGTTCTTGTTTTTTTTTTTTTTTTTTTTGCGGCTGGCGAACTTGGACTAAGTTGCACACTTCATATGATTCCAAAACACCGTGTTTTTTTTTTTTTTTTTGCAATAAACTGTAGAGAAAAGACACGCACAACGAGTAGTTAACACTTCTGCCTTACAGCTTAGGGTTCTTGGTTCGAGTTCCGTCTCTGGCGACTCAAGTTTCAATGTTCTCCCCCGTGGTTGGCTCCAGTTTCACGCTCCATAAATTGTAATATTTGGATAACTGGCACCAACGGTTGTACTCGTGGTTGGCCTCACAGTCAAAAGACTCCGGATTAAAATCTTAGGCCCTTCTGTGTGGAGGTTTGCATGTTCTCCATGTACCCCGGATACATTTCCAAAAAACGCAATGACCATGACAGATAAACAGTGCTTTTTGACTGAACTTTGGAAAAGACACTGCATGGTTCTCCTGGTTACTAGTGATGCATTTAACCACACTGCCACATACTTGTAATTTTCCTTATCTTTTTTTTTTAATAGCCCAGTTATGCTGTTATATATTACAGATAACACTGGCCAGCATTACATTTTAATCAGAGATGGCTGTATGTGTCCAGAAATGAATTTTTGAGGCTGATTTAAAAAAATATCTTCACCTTTTTACGAGCACATCATTTCTATTCGATATTTTGTTGTTTTTAAAGGGAAAGTAAATCCAACCATTTTCTCTTTTTACTGATATGTTCCATGCGCCTTGCTTAGTCGAAACACTGCAATTTAACTCTTATTGCATTTGTGTAATATGAGCTAAGCAGCAAAATCCACCTTTTTTTTCAACCATCTTGTGGTATTTTGCCACTTGCTGTCGACTGAATATGACATCACACTTGATTAGGACTCAGGTCACGACCAATCACAGCTGGGCCATGATTGGCTGTTACCTGAGCCATGATTGGACATTACCTCCGTCCTGGGCATCTCTGATGTCTTTTTCAGTCGACAGCAAGTGGCAAAATGGCCGCCCCCTTAGATGGACAGAAACGTAGATTTTACTGCGACAGACATTACCGTCACTGTGGCTATTCAGCATCCTCACACTCCTCACGGCATTCCCAGTCAGCAACAAAACAGCTTCTCCATCAGCACTCGGATGCTTGCAGAAGCCAGACTGACGTAAGCCGCCGACCCGGCTGCCTTGCTAATGTGCTGCAGTTCCCCATTCGGCCCAGGATGAAGTGGCAGCAAAAGGGAAAAGGGAGAATTCTGAGCGGGTCGGTTGTGGGGAGGCCAGGTCGTGGGCCCTCGGTCAGCCCCCCGAGCCCCCGATAGAAGTAGTGTGTATTCACAGAGAGGCCCCGAGGGGAGCTCTAGAACACAAACAGACCTCTAAATACTCTGATTACTCGAGCGCTTAGGTCAGGCCTAGAGCGCAAGGCCGAGGGGCACGCTGCCAGTCGCGCTTGGTTTTGGTGTGAGCAGTCAGAGTGTTTTTTTTTGGAGTCCTCAGGGGTCAGGATGACCCTGTGTGCTGTCAAAGGCAGACTTTTGCTGTCTCGAAAACAGAGCTATTTCCCTTTTGGTTGTATTATTTTTAGACCAAATTCGCCAGTTTGTTTTCTGTTTTGTAGTAACCAAAGCCACAGTCTGAACCACTTGACCACTTGCTAGCTACTGTAACTCACAACACGAGGATGAGCAAGTCTGCTACCCACGTAGCTAAATAAGACTTGTTTCACAGAGGCACACTTCACTTCGGTCAGGTAATCACCCCGAGGTGATAACTTATGAAAGTCTTGTGACATGACTACATCGCTGACTGTTTGCGGCGCTCATGCAACGGTCTGTCCACGTTGAGGCTTCGGTTCAGAGTGCGCCATCGCTTTCTCCCTTTTCTCGTTGTCAGAAAGCATTAACGTGGTCGGCCCTGAGAATAGCTTCAAGTACTTTAGCCCAAATCCTCTTTGCAGGAGAACGCATGGCCTGCTTGCCTGGCGGTTTGGTTTTAGGGGCCGCCGCGGTTTCCTTCTTCCATGTCACGGTGCCTTCGGGATGTCGCATCTGTTCGGTTTAAACAAGGTGACCGTAAGCCACTTTCAACTTTAAGCAAATAGTTAATACCGGTTTTGCTTGCTTGGGGGTTTGCATTGTTCCTCTCGGGGGGGGGGGGGGACAGTGAGGGCTCACATGTCACCCTTGCGGAGACCTCCGTTTCTGAGAACAACCCGTATTTCTTTGTTTGAACAAAATTGCGCTGTCGCTTTTGCAGCTGCTTGCATGCGGTCGCTGGTAAACGTTCTCCCAAAGATTCGCTGCGCTCTTGTTTGGTCTGCAGCGTTGGCATTCCTGGCGCTGTGCCCAGTGCCTGCTGACGTCTCACCCCCCCCCCCCCCCCCCCCCCCCCCCCCTCCCACACGTGTAACGGAAGCAACCCTATCAAACGCCGAAAAGACAGAATCCTTCCCATCTTCGCAGGAATCAAACATGTCAACAGACGCACATTTTCGCCTTGTGCGCGTCGACCCTCCCTCTCTAAAAAAAACGCCGCCGCCGCCGCATCTTTCTGTTTTCATTTGGCCTGCCTTTGGCGTCACAGCGAGTGTCTGGTTTTAAGAGGGACGCCCGGCTGTAATCCCGTTGTTCTGATGGGAGGGGGGTAATTCCGCTACAATGCTGTTCTTATTGGCCAGCGTCCTTTGTAACCGTGCGTCCTCCTTGCTAATGGGCGCGCACGCACGCGGATAGAGCAAATGCCTAACTCGATTATCGGGTCCTTTACTGAGAGTGCGAATGAGTGATACGGACAACATTTAATATTTCGATATTCAAACTGAATATGTTGATGATGATCTTATGATGGATTCAGTGAAAAGTATTTATTTTTTTTAATTATTATTTTTTTTTAAGATGGCACATGATCAATCCAAAAGGATGTGGAAGTGCATTTTTTTAAAAATTAGAATATCCTGTGTTGTATCACCCATGTATTGCCTTCATAAAAAGGACACATTATAACCACAATATACAGTGGAACTTGTGAGGTCAATTGTTCATATTTAGCCCATTAAAAAAAAAAAAATTCTGGGTCATAATGTTGCCATTGTAAAATCTTAAACGATAAGTAACCTCTTGAAGGTGATCCAAATGTAAAACGGTCTTACTTGTAAATGTGACGCACTTGGCGGCGCAGATTCTTTCCTTCTTTTTCGCGCCGATCATCAATGCCGGATTGATTTGTGACACAATTCCGATAAGAATCACGGAGAAGGAAAGGTAAAAAAAAAAAAATGTCTGGAATCCGATTCGTCATCAAGCCTGTTTCAAATTGTTGATACAAATCTGCCATCGGACACACGCAAATGCCACGACAGTGTCAACAGACTGATTGGAAATACCCCATCATCGGTCAAGTTATCAAATGCCGGCAAAGGTGTGATGGCGTAGAAATGATTCCAGCATCTTCCGATTTTCCAACAGGGAGAAGAAGCGACCCATACAAGGCGAGAATCGTTTGATGGAAGATAAGAAAAAGAAAAATCAAGACGAGAAGAAAAAGAAAGAAGCCGCTCCGAAGAAGGTTAAAAATTTATTTTTTTATTATTATTTTTTCAAATGGATGATGGATAAAAAGTCCATTTTACATCGCTTGTCCTTTCTGACTCTCTGCATTCGCTCTAGCGACAGCCATTTACTCTTTTCATCCCGTCAGAGTAAATTGTGAACTCAATAGCGATAACATTTTTTTTTTTTAACTTTCAGTAATATCAATACCAATTTGCTTGCCTCCCCATTGTTTTTTCCCTTTGTGTAGATTCATGATTTCGTTTTGTAACCCGCAAAGATTGAATCGAGGCAACTGGACTCTTGTTTGTCGGATTATTATTATTTTTTTTTCTCTTGTTTTCTGAGAACACTCAGAAATGACCGAGGCAATTATGCCATTAGCATTACGATACCAGCCCTTCAGTTTTATTACATGAGCACATTCTGTTCTTACCGAAAGCTCTCCTGCGCCTTTTTAATCTTGTTTTTTCTGTTTTTCAGGACACCGAACAGAAAACCAAAGGTGAGTTGCGCTTTTTTAAAATTATTATTATTATTTTTTTGCTTCTCTGCCCCTGGTGGAATCCCGAGATGCTCCAAAGGAGGGTGGTGATGAGAACCAAAGGAATGCAAATGAAATCAAATCTCACTAAAACAAAACCCGATGATGCTAAGGTAAAGGATGTGCCTGTCGGGAGTTTCCAGAGAACGCAAAAAAATAAGTCTTCCTTATGTTGTGGTCCTACTGGTTTATCAAACTGGCGTAGTTCTATTCTGAGTGGAGCATGCAGCTGAGCGGGGAGTGGATGTGATCGAAAAGCCGTTTGCGGCTTTTTTGCTCTACATCAATTAACTTTGAGAAGAAGTGCTCAGATCAATATCTGGAGCTCGTATCCATTTACTAATGTGATGTGGTTCTATTTCTTAGCAACGGGACATCATAATGTAAGGAGACCAAATAAAAGACCCTCAAAAATTTTTTTTAAAAGTCCATCTGTGACCTAATGAGCGAGCCCGCGTGGCTGTGATGTCGGTGCGCAGCATACAGGGAGCTAATTAGGAGACGAGGGATGTTGTGGCTTCTGGATAAACAGCCCTTCGTATGCGGGAGACCTGCAGGAATACCCCCCGAGCGCCATAGTAACGGAACACCAGCTCAGGAGGTCCAACCTGGGACCAAGCAGGAAGGAGCTGAGGGGAAAGGAGCAAGATGGAATGAATTGTTGCGGTTAAACCATTGCAGAGTAGAGTGGAAGGGGCTCTTCTTGTCTCCTCCACGTGACGGGATCAACAACGTGGAATGGTTACAAACGTTAAAATGGGTTTCACAAACATCTTCGGACTGCTTCGCCGACGCAAACGGCGTCTCGATGTCACGTGGGAATGAGCTGCGATGTAAATGTGAGTGCCTATTCTTGCACTTTTTTTACCCCACTTGGAAATACTTTGTCGGGGTTGCTTTGTCTGGAATTCGTCTGCCTTGTTTGGAGAAGTCTCGCTGAGAAGCGAGTGACGTATTGGCGAGATCTGCAATCAGCAGCGAGTTAGCAACAGTCGTATTAGATCAATTTTCACCTTTTGTGAGTATCCTACATCCAGTATTTTCTGCCTCTGTACCGGCAGTGTTCCTTGCTTCTCCCAATGTGTGCGCGTGTGCTGCCACCCCTCCCCCCCCCCCCGTTTTTTTTTTTTTTTTCAATTTGCCGCGCAGGTCAAAAGTATCCCTTGATGAAGTGTGAAGAGGACGGGGTTAGTTTCACCCGCCATGTTCCCGTAGCGCATTCTACTGACCACCCCTCAGCCTCAAGAGGTTAAAAGGCCGGTGGCTCCGCCTCGATGGGCAAGGAGTGCCGGAGAGACGAAACGTCATCAAACGTTTATGCCCCCGTGATAGCCGAGGCCGTCTGCCACCAATCCCCCCCCGCGAGTTAATGAGTCATTGTGTCTCCTGCGCCCGCTGCGCATTTTCATCCGAGGTGCCGTGCGAAGCGCGTCTACGTAACACGGCGTTGCATTTACAGCGCCATAAACGATAACGTGATGACAAAGTTGCGCCGCGGCGGTAATATGCGCGACAAATTAATTTTTCCGTCGCACAATGGCTTAATTACACCCGGTGCCTTTTGTGTGTTTGGCGAGTCATAAATTGCCGTGCGAACAGAGAGGGCTTGCCGGCTGTCATCTTCGCCACCTCTCGAACATATCGCGTCATCTTTTAAGGAGGCGTTTTAAATGACTGTTGTCGCGGATTTAATCTATATTCTCTTTGCTTTTGTGGTTGTTTTTTTTTTTTAATTATTAAGGTGGTATGTCTGGATGTCATTTGTAATGAAAAGCTGATAAGACTTCAGATTTAACGATGTTCCAGTCATTGGTGTCGATGCTATTTGATGACTACTTGGCCTTTGTTTGCACAATGTGCCATCAGATCGCACCTTCTTCGAAATGGCTTTTTTTTTTTTTTTTTTTTTCGTCTGTGCGAAATGTCTTGCTCGGAGGCGGGGCCTTCACTCTTAAATACAGTGTCACATTCATTCGTTTCTAATTAAGCATTTTAATCGTCCTCTCTTGTGTGACACGGCGCTCTCGTTTGGAAGCCCCACGGGCGCAAAGCGACGCTCCGCCCCCAAAAGACATGTCGCTCGTCTCACCGCGCCAATCGTCGCGTTGGATTTTGATTCGCTTCCAGTGCACGTTTCCCTGGCATAAATAGGTATTTTCCCGTTTCTGGTTGCAGGGGTCCCTCCTGCAGGTGTGATCATTCAAAACGTGTGAGCGAGGCTCCGCGCGTTGGCGAACGGAAGCGCGGACGTTGCTTAAAGCTTCAGGCGGAAGTAGCGCATGCGGTCGGGCATGTCGGCCATCCATGCGCTTAAGTACTCTTCGTTTCAAGCTGAGCCTGGATCAATGCTGACTCGGCAAATTACTTGTCGACCGTCATGACAGAATTCGATATAAGCCGCGAAATCATGCTCCAGCTGCTGATCAAACAACAGCATTGACAATCGTCGTACAAGAAGTCAACTTATCATCGCAACCAAGTGACCTGCGTGTGACCAAGACGGAATTTTTGTCACTTTGCTTCTCCTGCGAGTGATGACAACATGCTGTTGTTTGTTTTTTTTTTTTTGTTTGTTTTTTTTGCACCTCCGTTAAGTTCAAGGTCGTGTTTTCGTGCTTCCACCCAGGAGATCACTTCAACACTAGCAACCCTCTCCCGTTCCTCCGCTCACCTCGGTTGCTGTGATATCTCCCAAATAAACACCCCTGCCAAGCCTGCTATCATCTTTCCTATCAGAAATATTCAGATCCCCTTTTTTAAAGCTGGAAATGAGGTAGACTCCTCCGTGTGAGGCACACACATAGCCTGCAGGCCGCGGTTTGATGTGCATTTTTGATGAAGCGGGAATTCTCCTGCGCGCCCGCACAGCTGCGGACGTTGTTTTGCAAATAGGCTGTCGGAGAAGGTGACTGATCTCTTTTGACTCTTTCTCTCTCTCTACAAAGCAGACGGCTATGCTTCGGGGCCCGAAATTCTGCATGTACTTATTTTATACTGCAATCGCACCTGTATTGACATAACTTTGACACCGTCCCTCGCTTCTTTTGAAACAAGACTCGAGAGCAACGTGGCGTTCTGTAGGCAAGTCGTGTTCTAATTGTAAGCGGATTTTCAACCTAAGCTGGTTTCCGGCAGTCAGACTGCAGCTCGCAAAAGGGGGGGCGGAGTCTTGAACACACACCATTCTTTTCATTGCTTGCTGTACCTCGTTCCCTCCGTTCCTGTGGATCCGCTCTCTCTTTCTCGCTCCCTCCCGCCCTTTGGCGCTCACTCGTTTTTATCTCCCCTCTCTGATTGGCTGAGAGAGCAGCTGGCCCCACTTTCCCCCTTCCCCCAAAGCCTCCAGAAGACTCGACGTCACGCACCCGAGTCCCGACGGTGTTAAAAAATTGCCTCCATAACTGTTATTAAACCGAGCTTTTACGTGGAAGCGCCTCTCTAAAGTCATCAGCCTGTCTCGCCTTCCGTACGGCTACAAAAACAGTGACGAGAGCGTCTCGCCACTGAATGGGAGACGCAACAGAAACGCGCATGCGCCAAACAAAACGCGAGCCCCCCCGATGCCACATGTGAGCAAACGCGTCCGACTCTATGAACAAGCGGCTGGCTGTAGGCTCCACGACTGCATCCTGTCCTCCCCTCAGCGTGGGCCTCAGTGTTGCATAACTCTTTGTTTTTGTGTGTGTTGGGGCTGGCCTCGTGCACGCGCGGGCGCGTGTGTGCGCGCGATTTATTCATTGCTTCAATGCACACACGAGGAAACTGAGCCAATGGAAGAGAGTCATTCTTCCTCGCTCATTTCAAAGTGCTTATTTTACTCCTGTTGTTTCTCACTACGAAGAAAGTGAGGTAGGGGAGGTGGGGTGGGGGCATCTCGTTGACTCTCAGTTTACATCCAATAATCTCCTCGGGCAGTATGTGGACGCTACAAGCTTGTTTTACTTCCTGTTTACATTCTTGTTTACCAGCGTCCAGATTATGTAAAGATACATGCTCAGGGGCAGGGGGGGGGGGGCGATTATCCACTGTGCTCGCCGGCCATAATGCATCCGACCCGGCAGTCACTCTGCGACCCACGAGAAGATAATCCTGTTTGACCTTGTGTGCGACCTCCTGACCTTGCACTGCTACTCAAAAGGACGTTACACTTAACTGTTTAATTGTTACACTGATAAGATAGGAATCCGACATGGTGGACAGTCCATTCGAATCACACACACACACACACACACACACACACACACACACACACGTTGTACTTTTGTAGACAAAGTATTAAGCTCTGGATCCAGTGCTGTGCGAAAGTAGCTTTTTTTTTTGTTTCAATGACCCATTTGTCAGCAGTTAAACACTAAATAATATAGTAGGAACAATCACGAGGGGAGGAGGAGGGTGGTACCGAAGCTTTGCAAAGAGTTAGTTTGTGGACCACGGAAGTCACTTTTATATTCTGTTCAATGTCTTATCAGTGGAGAATAAATAGCTCCTCGAAGATCGAGAGCGATGCTGGTGGTGTTGTGTGTTTGGGGGTTGGTGGCAGCATTTTTTGGATTACGTCTACAAGGACAATGAAAGATTTAGACAGGTGTAATAGAATTTGTCTGGAGTGCTGGTGGTGGTTACCACGTCTGCCTCACAATCAAGAGGCTCTGGGTTTGAAACCCCCCTCAGGTGCTCGTTTGTGGTGTTAGTTTCTTCTCTCCGCTTATTGAGGTTTGTTCCCACATTTCCAAAAACATGCGTGATTGGTTAAATGAAGACTCTAAATTTGTGAATGTGAGTGAGTACATTGTTGGGTCCCGTGCTTGATTACGACCGGCACCCAAAATGATTTGGGATAGGTTCCAGTTCACCCACGACCATTATGAGGGGTTGCCGACATATTCGTACTCACCTTGACTCCTGAATTTCTGCTTTTTCTCTCCTGCTTGAAGTGCCAGACTCTGCCAAGCTCAACCCCATCCCTCCTCTGCCCCCCGCCTACCCCAGCGTCACCCCGCCTGTACCCCCAAGCAGTGGCGATGGCAAGCGCGCCCTCGGCGGAGGCCAGCCTCTCGCCACCTCGCAGACTCCGCTCCAGCAGCGCCACCCGGCCAGAGAGGTGCCACCGCGCTTCCGCCTGCAGGAGCAAAAGCAGCTGCTGAAGAGGGGCCAGCCACTCCCCCCCGGGACCCTGACGCTCACCGCCACAGGACGTCCCGCCACCTCTGGGCCCGCAGCGGCAGCAGTAGCCAGCCACCCCGATTCCCCCTCAACAAACCTGCCCTCAGGTCAGGAGCGCAGCTCGTTTGTTCTGATTTCATCTATGTATCTAGCTAGCTATCTAGCTAGCTAGGTAGCTAGCTATCTAGCTAGATAGCTATCTATCTAGCAAGCTAGCTAGGTAGCTCACTAGATAGCGAGCTAGGTAGCTAGCTAGCTATATAGAGAGAGATTTTTATTTTTTTAATCAGGAATACATAAAAAAAAGTGGTTGAATTGCAAGTTTGACTACTTTGGGGGCTTTGAGACTTCCACTGTATTGACGTCCAACGCATGAGTTGGCCCTATTATGAGCGATGAGTGTAGCTGTAGAACCACGTGAAGTAACCCGTGTGTCGGACCGCTGTTTATTTTCCCTCTTGTCTGGCTGGGAATTAGAAATGGGAATCAAGGAATCCGGAGGAAGACAAAGCCGAGTAAACACAGCTGGCACAACAGTATGCGTTTGTATGTTTTCCTTCCGGAGCGTCTGCATATCCCGCTGAAGCAGATTCTCGGGCATTTTCTGTCGACGCTTTCGAGAGCGTGATGGGAATGCAGCTCCATCTCCATGGCGATGAGACGGTTATCCCACTTCTTTCGATTCCCTCCTCCTTTTCCTCGTCGTACTCCTCCTCCTACTCTTTGCTGAGCTTTGCTGACTATTTCCTGTTTTGGGGAGCGAGGGGGGGAGAGAGAGAAGCTGTACAGAGCCAGCTAGTTGGCTGGACACCTCAGTGGGCCTGGCTTGGCATCACTCGAAAGCCGAAGGAAGAGAAAGATTGGTGGAGCGAGCGAACGTGGCAGAGGTCCAATGCTGTGGGCTGGAGTGAGTCATGGCTTACGGTAAAAAGCTAGCGCTTCCACTCCTCCCCTCTTCGACAGGCCTCCCCGGTTCTCCTTTCATTCTGTACGTGTCAGTGGAGTGGTTGACTACATGAGGACGTGCAGACAGAGGAGCGGTTCCTCATCGCCGAAGATGGAGCCAGTCGGTCATTTGCGTGTATGCCGTATCGTAGCATTCACGTTCGCGTTCCTTCCTGTTGCTGCTCCATCATGAGTTGATTAGATGGTAAACTCGGAGCGCCCCATTGTTTTGCTGCAGCATTCACTGGAATGATTATAAAAAGCTGAGCGCGTTCCGATGTCCTGTTTCAACAAGATGGGAGGGAGTCGGGGCGTGGGGGCAGGGGGGGGTTCAAATAAAGCACAATGTGTCGCTGCAAACCATCTGAGAGTTTTTATTCTGCTAACTGGTCAGATGACGGTTGCGTGAAAGGAAAAAATGTCAACACTCAATCTGGTCCTCTGTTTTCGCTTGGAGCATTCCTACTTCTCTTTCATTCACATTGTTCTATTTGCCCTCTCTAATGCGACCCAGAATGCACTTCCCATTGTGCTCATCAGATCATTCTTTTGGGTTTTTTAATTGAAACGAAAAGTGCAAGAACGTCCCAGGCTCAGGAGCACGTCTCAGAAAATTAGCTGTAAATTTAGAAAATCAATGTCCGTTCTAAGGACTGGATATTTCCAAGTCTTCCAGCTTGAAAAAAATATATTTTTTTTTCCTTTTTCTTTTTCAAGCAATATTTCATTTTGGGATATCGACTATCTCATGTCGATGTAAAATTGCAGTTTGGCTTCTGTCTTGTGGAGAACGATCGAATGAAAGATTATTCCGCCCATGCATGTCACCGCTAATATCCTTTTGCTTCCTCTATTCTTGCAACCTGGCCTAACCGAGCAGCACCATTGTCCCTGCCTTGGTTCTTCATATTATACACCCAAGGCTCATTTGCTCTCGTTTGGCCTCTTTTTTTTTTTTTTTTTTTCCCCTTCCCCCTCATTCAACCTCACCTCACCCCCTTTGACTTGACCAAGTCACATGCAGGCTTATTTGGAAAATTAAGGCTGATTATCTCGGCTGGTGTGTCAGTCTTGACTCCAGTCAATATTTGACTACTTCTGCGTATTTCCGACCACTCTTGTTCAAACTAAAGCCGAGGCTTTGGCTTTTGCTGTGCACGGTCGAATTGGCATCGACAAAAATAGCCATCTCTCATGTAGAGGAGAGCACGCGCGCGCAGGATTGAGTTGATGTGCTCTTCTGATGACGCCACAACATTGGGGATTCCCCGTTCGAGGTCTTCTGATGTGATGAAACATCGGCTCGCCGTTAAGGATCAATCTTCCGGCTCTTGATGTTTTCTTCTTCTACAGTTTGTTACGAAGCGGGCGTGCGTGTTCAGGCACCTCCGCCTTAACAAACAACCAAACATCACAGCGCGTCGCTGGCCCGAGGCAGATGGGATTAGTCCACGCTAACATGTATGTCTGTCAGCTTTCCCATTATTCTGACGGTATCGCTGTGTTGCCGTTCGCTTGGCTCGCACTACGTTTCCCAAGGCTCTTTCGTGAAGAGAAGGCGTGTGAGAGCGAGCTATTTTAAGACCGGCATGTTGGAGAAAGCCCTTGACCTGGTTTATCCTTTCACGGGGAGAGAGGGGGGGGGGGGGGGGAAAACATGACAACATGTATGTGGGCTCTCGAAAATGCATGTCTCCCCCCAGCCCCCTGCGTCCCCTCGCTCAATTTGTCATTGAGCTATTCGTTTTTGCAGAAGATGCATTTCAGAAAATGAAACGCCCCGTGGTGTGTTGTGCGGTCATCACGTGGATCGATTCAGATTTCATTGGTGATTGACGTTTTGCTTCTCATTTGGATTAGTCACCTTCTATAAAATGTTACTTCATAATCCAATTCAAGTTTTTTTTTCTACTCTGTATGCATGCATAAATGGTAATAACTAGTGCTGTCAAACGATTAAAATATTTAATCGTGATTAAAAATGCGTCTGTCGTGATTAACTCAAATTAACTCATAATTAATCGTGATTACTCAAACATTTTTATCGTTTCTGAATTTCCTTTTATATTTTTTTTGTCCTATTTTTTTCCCGTTTTAATGCTCTTTTTAAATACGGAAGCCAATAATAACGCGCTAAACTGACAGCTCTAGTAATAACGTGAAGAATACATACACCGACGTGTCACAGCTATCTCATTTCTCTTATCATGGGTTTCATTATGAAATATAAAAAGTACAAAAAAAAAGTTCATGCAATGCACCTTGGCATCAAACACCGTAAAATATCGGGTAGAATTCTAGCGCACGTGTTCCTGCCGAGTGCATCGTATTGTTTAGCCAAGGTCTGAATCACTGCCCGGTTATTTTTATTTTACAAAAGCGAGATGTGTCACCTCACAGTAGTGCGATCTGCAATTCACAGTGAATGCATCACCGGGCACTGTAACAGTTTACAAGTTAAAAAATTCTCGCAGTGACGGAAATAAGCACACCATCGGGGTCCGTCATGACTCCTTTGCAGTCGCGTCGCTTTTGGGATTAAACGTCACAAAGACAGAATGCAATTCTACCCAAACGCTAGCTGACTGAGAAATCTTCAAACGATCGTCATTAAAAAAAAAATCATATGTAAATAAAAAAATCAAGTGAATCGATTCACTCCACGGTCAAACGGTCGCCATCCTATTAAGTGTCGTACAAGTATTAAGAGAAGTTAAGCGCTCTGATAAAACGAGAATCCTATAAAATGACTCGTCGTCCGTCGACAACTTGGCAAACACATAATCGCACAGACGTGCAAGGTTTTGCCGGAATTAGTGTCGCGTTTACTTATCATTTGGACACATGGTGATGGTTTAGACTTTTTGTTTTGTTGAATTTTTTTGTGAGTTCTACTTTGGCGGTTCCGCCATATTCATCATCATGAATAATCCGAGCAGAATTAAGCAAGCAGACTCTTGGATTCTTGGGGATTTCCTTTACACAGGTTGTCGTAGCCTATCGTTGGGGTGAAACTGCTTTCTCGCAGCGCTGCGTTTTGTGTTTGTTCAGAGGGCTTGTTCTACAAGCTAGGCAGTGTGCATGGTCAACTCCAAACCGTCCCGACTGTGTACCCCCTGGGGGACTTCATTAATCCGGGATGGTCCAGCTGAGACCCCTCGCATCCCTGCTTACATGACGTCCTCCTATCACTCAACTTGCATCTCCCACGCTTGATTTTTTTTTTTTCTACCATCTCCGCCTTTGCTATTGATCTGACTTCACTCGATGCCACGGATGAGAAAAATGTCACGTGTTCCCAATGGTTTTATACTCGCCAAGGACTAACTTTTATTACACAAAAACACAAGATTACACATTTAAAGGTAAACGATCGTCCCTGCTGATTTGAGCTAGCCTGTTTGTATACACGGCAAACAGGAGATTCGCAACACTCGCCGTATGTTTCCTTGCAGTACGGACTCTCTCCCGTGTGTCACATCCTCACAATCATGAGGTTCAGTGGGCAGAACCTCCAGCGAGCATAGCGGCCACTGTTTTCCACCAAACATTGATGTATTGTGTTGTGGTGCGTAGGCACTGGTATCACTAGTGCACAATGCCAGCCTTGATCCGAGGGAGCCGCTGCCATTTTTTATTTATTTTTTTTCCTGTTGCCAAGCTCTTCGCCCCTGCTTCTCCTCTTTCCTCCATGCCTTCTATTAATTGCCAAGCACGTGATCCTCTGTTGTGTTGCGCTGCTCTGACCCCTTGACACTTTTCCATGTCCATATTTGAGTCCAGATCCATTTGAACGTGCTTATTTCATGTCTTTTAATTCAAAGATTGCACGAGTCGCTTCACGCAGCCGACATTTGCCATCATGACGTAATGCCCTGCCTGGGGTGCAGCGTGATTTTTGCTTGATTCTACCTTCCTTGCTCTTGACTCCCTGTGCTATTCAAGAGGTTTTTCAATTGTGCGCGGCGGTGCTAATTGCACATGGAGTAGTCCTGGCAAAATAGTTGACGCCATTTAGTGAAAGGTGAAAAGATCCGAGGCTGCATTTCGAGGAGCCCCCCGTTTGTTTTGTTTTACCTCATCCCATTTGAGTGTATAACTGCCTCGCTCTTAGCGGTCCATCCGCCACCTACCAACAATACTGCTCCACATTACTTCAGCTGTGCCGTCCCCTCCCCTTCCCCCCACTAGCCTGCCTTCTCTAAGGGCTTACATTTCCAGCGAGGGAGCGTATCCGTCGTCGGGATAGGAATAGAGCATGATATAAATAAAGCCGGGGGGGGCAATAGAGGCGGCGAGACCCAGTCAAAGCAATATTGGTGGGAGGGACAGAGCATGTGGGGCGAGGAAGGAAGGGAGAGAAGCAGCAGCAGTAGGTAGGGGAGGGAACGTGGGGGGGGGAGGGGGGAGGGGGGGTTAGTCTCATGCCGTGCAAGAGCTGTGCAACTTCTTGGCAGCGTTTCAGAGAGGAGCCACAGAGGCTTGGTGAGGCAAGCAGACATATTGAGACAAGGATGGTCCCCGTGTCGCACAAAACCTAGTTCCTTGCACGATGGTCGGGAGGCACCTCTCCACAGGTATTTCGTCGCGGCGTGGCGGCTCGCTCGCTCTTCCTTTTCCGTCCTCGACGCTTCTTCTGTGCAGTTCTTTTTGCGGCTGGCGTACGGGGACTTTAAGCCTGCAGCGGCAGTGCGTCGCGGGCACGCGTTGCGCTTTGCATATGACATCGAGAGTGAGGCATGCATGCTTTTACACGATACAGGCAGAGACGGTAGCTCAGAGCCTTTTTGGCTCAAATTCAGGACTGAGAAAATGGCGGTCCTGCTCCCTCTCACTGGAGTGACGCTACAGAAAGACTGTGCGCTGTGTTTCAGAAACACAGTGCCCTCTTTTCACTCGAATGCCGCTTTCTCTCTCTCCCTACTTCAGTTTGCGGGCGTTTAAAAAGTATGCTGGAATTAAAGGCGAATGCTGAGTGCAATGTGATTGCCGCCTACGTATTGCCATGAAAGCTCGTCTTTGCATGCGAGCTTAACTCGCATGTAAACAGTCGCAACAGCCAGAGTAGAAAGGAGTGATGATGTGGCGTCACGGTGATCAATGCACAGACCCCTTTTTTTTTTTTTTGTATCAGCATGTATTGGAAGTGCTGCAAGAGAAAATATGACAGAATATTATTTTGAGTTGTCGGAGCAGTCTTACATGCAGATGGAGGCTCTTGTGTGCGTGCGAGCATAGAGACAAGTCATGCATCATGCCAATCTGAGGTAATTACGACTCTGACTGCCTTACTGATGAAAAGAGGTTAAGGACGTCCCAGCTTTCTAGCTAGTGCCACTGATCATTTCTGTGACAGTTCGGAAACCAATTACCAGCGTCTATGCATCTGCACTTACGGTGTCAAATGAAAAATACCTTCAGACACTGTTGTCTGAGTTGAGGCTGAGGTGTGAGTCTCCACAACTTAATTGTAATTGATTTGCTACGTTCATATATCTATCATGAAAGATGATTGCCGCTGGAATTTAAAAAAAAAAAAAAAGAAAACCAGCCAATGAGTCGGATGATTTTGATGTGATTGGCTAAGCATGCATATTCAATATTTACATTGACACACTTCAATAATTGTTTTGAAATGTGAAAGCTGTTTGGCGCGAGCAACAGGGAATGTGTGTTTAACCGTCAGTGATTCTGTTGAAGGATTTCCGTGTTTTTCAGTTGTAGAGCTTGTGATTGAGAATAGAAGTGGACTCGTTACGTCGCCATGGTATTTCAGGTCCTACGTGGGCGGGATGTGTACCTAACTTGAAGCAGCTTCCTCAGCCACCTATCTCATACGCATTTTTTTTTCCTTCTGTTTATTTCTTCCGATGCAGAACTGCCCCCACAGAGCAGCCAGGGAACCCAGTATGATAATCCCCTTTGGGGACACCTGCCAGGTGACAGGAGTGCCACAAATCCTGCAACTTCCACTATCTCAAGTTGCAGTGAACAACTGATCATTGACCAGAAGGACACAGAGGCTTGGCCTTCTATTACTCTTAGCCAGAATAAGGCCCCTCAAGGAAGATGCTGTTTGGAGTCTGACCCTGGTCACTCGACCAGCAGCAGTAGCACTTGTAGTACCAGTAGTAACGGTAGTAGTAGTAGTAGTACTAGTAATAATAGTGGTTGGTGTTGTACGAGTATGGCCACAGGGGCCAATAGCCAGACAGGCCACTTCCCTGTCAACCACCTAAGCAGTAAGGCCAGCACTGGACTCAGCCCTGCCAATCATACTGGAACCAACATGCACTCAAGCCAGGTTGCAGCCAATCGCTGGGGCTCTGGGTCTGGACCATCTCAGTCCTCAGTGGGTAGTGAAGGGAAAAATGACAGTCCAGCGGGAGGGGGGAGCAGCAGGGGTTGGGGCTCTTCGTCATCCTCCAACTGTAACTTGAACTTGAACCCTAATGCTAATCCATCCGCATGGCCCGTGTTAGGCCATGATGTGGGTGCAGCAGGGGCAGGCAGCTCAGGGGGAGCCAACATCATTTCACCCCCTCAAACTACACCAAACTTCTGTAATCCTACTGGCCCCCCATCATCGCAGACCAGCACCTATACTGCAGCCAACACTAACAGTAACTCCTCGGGTATTGGCAGTGCCTGGGGGAGCATAATGACCTCTGATGCATCAGAGTTGCAACCTTCGCCATCCACGAATGTGTCTTTCAGTTCAGAACCTCAGAACCTTAAAACTGATGGACCAAATCACATTAATAAGCAGGAACAACCGAGTCCCACTCACCACTTGCCAAGTTGGGGCAATGCATCCGTTGGCCTGGGTGCAATGGGTCAACAGTCATCAGCGGCCAAGCAGGTTAACGGAGAAGATAATTCTTCTGTATGGGGAATTGATGGCGAGTCAAAGACACCGTCATCGAAAGAGTTGTCTGGCTGGGACTCTGGCTGGGGCCAGGGCGGAAGCGGATCAGGAAATCCTGGAGGCTGGGGTGAACAATCCAGTGGAGACTGGGGCAAGAAGCAAACTGAAGATACCCAAGGAGGCTGGGATGGCCCCAGCTCTCCTCCCCAGGACCCACCGACTAGTTCTTGGAACAGAGCTGTGAGTACGACTGCTGCCAGTGAGGGAAGCAGTGACAGCATGGAAGGACATCCCAGGTCCAAACTCCATTCATCCAGAGATACCCCTGCTCCTCTGTTGCCTGCCCAGGATCTTGACCCTCGGGTGTTATGTAATACTGGATGGGGACAGACCCCCGTTCGCCAGCACACATCGTGGGACATGGAGAATACTAAAACCAAGAATGACAGTGCCACTGAATCCTGGGACTCTCAAACCGGTCCTGATGCCCAGGGGCCTTCCAATTCTAACATGGGTCCCCCACAAAGAACTGACACTGGGAGCAAAAATGAGGTGCCTGCTTCTCAGGGAGCTTCAGGTTGGGGAGGAAATATAGCTGCTAGCAACCAGTCCAGCTCTGGCTGGGGAGATCAACCCAACACCATGAAGCCCCCAAGTGGTCCAGGTGGCTGGGGAAATCTACCAAAAGGAGTTCCCTCCTCCACTATCCCTAAGAATAGTGGTCAGTCCTGGGGTGAAGAGAGATCAACAGGTTGGGAGGGCTCTCATGGCAAGCCAACGACCCAGAATTGGGGAGAGCAACCCAAAGCATCCCACAGCTGGGGCAATAGTGGACTGAGCAACTCTGCAAATGACTGGGTAGACCCCGAAGAGAGAAAAAAGAATCCACCCACCTCTGCCTGGGAGGGAGAAACGGGAGGCTGGAAGGAAACTCCTCGAGGCTGGGGATTGCCTTCATCGGGGCAAGGGATGTCAGGCACTGGAGGCAAAGCGGGCTGGGGAGACCCTGTTAGTTCGCGTCCCAGTGGCCCTTCCCAGGGCTGGTCGGGCAAATCTCAGGATGGACCCAGTGGTGGTATTGGAGGGGGGATCAGCTCTTGGAGTGGCTCAGGCTCTGTGAAGCAGGGCTGGACCGGCAGTAAGCAGGAATCCTCCGCTGAACCTACAGGTTGGGAAGAGCCGTCACCGCCCTCAATCCGCCGCAAGATGGAGATAGATGATGGCACCTCCGCCTGGGGTGATCCTGGTACCTATAACAAATCCGTCAACCTGTGGGACAGAAACAATCCAGGAATGTCTCAAGCTAAAGCTACTACTGGGGGCAATAACCCCATTGGCCCCAACAGCAGTCATCCCCATTCTCACAATCACGCTTATCAAGGACCACCTGCACCTTTACAGAATCATGCCCAAAGTTCACAAAACCCAGGACCCACCAGTGGGCCCATGGATCCTGTTTTGCAGCACCAGTCGGGGTCATCTCACAACAGGGGCCCCATGATTGCTCAAGGTAAGATGATGTCCTATTTTATTTTGCACTATATAGACAGGGGAAATGTCTCCAAATAACTCCCATTCTCTTTTCCCAACCAAATGTGGGGCTCCAAAACTTCAGAAAAACTCTATTACTGATTTGAAGCAAAAACATTGTTTGTGGCCATAGTTTCATTGATTATGCTTTTTCTCCCAGATTGCTCTATTGATTGACCATTTAAAGTAGATGTCAACCACAAAAGCTGGTCAGTTAGTCAGGGCAGTGCACTGTTAAGCTCCAAGCTGGTGATGGACTTAAAGGTAATATCTTGACCTTGCCGCCCTTTTTGGATTTACATCTAATTAGCTATCCAAATGAGATAAGCGCTGCAGTCCAATCTCTCGGCGAGGCTCCTCACATTACACAATATTAGGCATGTCCGTCTGGCATGTTTGCCTCGCTAACCGCGGGGTGGCCAAAGGAAGTACAGGAATGGTGTTTACAAAGCGCCCTGTGAAAAATGAAAATCACCACAAACGTTTTGAGCTCTATCGGAAGTGAGCGATTATATGCGCCTGCCATCTGTCAGCGGTCAGGGAGAAAGTCCTGAGATCAACCCTGTTGGAACAGATGCCCCCCTGCTGTTTTGCACTTGATTCTGCATGCTCTTTGCATGGCTACAGTCAATGGAAAACCACTTTATGAGAGTAGGTGAGCCAGCTCTGTGCAAAACGTCCGGCAATGTATAAATGCTTATCGTTGTCTTTGGTTCTGTCAAACTGGAAATCAAGCAGTCTTCAGGTCACGCTCTCTTCATGCACTAAACTCTGCCTGGCACTGCTACAGGCACACTGGCGATACTGCATCGGTCATGCCAAGACTGACCAGGCTGTGCCAATTCTTAAATGGCCATTTTTCCCTCCTGTCAACCATCCTGTTCAGCTAAACACCGGTTCATTGCTTCCCGCCTGGATGAATTGATAAAACATAAATTGGTTGATGTTGTCAACTAGGCATTAAGTGACTTGTCTCAGAATGCAAAAAAAAAAAAAAAGCAATCAATAAAACCACTTTGGCCCCGACAGAAGATTTGTTTACGATTATATTTCTGTGTCCATCAGGCTGGGGAGAACTCCCCAGCTCCCACACGAAACCCGAAAGTTCTTGGGGGGAAACTACACATTCAGTCAACGTGGACAACGGTACATCTGCTTGGGGAAAACCAAGTGGGGGCTCTACGGGCTGGGGCGATGGCACCCCAGACAACTACAGTAGGGGCAACCCAGCCATGACAGGTCCAACTTGCAAACCAGGTGCATTTTAATTTTTTTTTTCCATAAAATGAAAAATTACTGTACTGCATGTTCTTCTTGTTCTTGCTCGAGAGTACTCTCGAGATGAGTCAAGGTCATCGGCTTGTTACTTGCAAAGCAGGACGTTGTTTTTCCACAAACCTGTCCTGACCCCTAGTGGCCGACAGATGTATTTAATGAGCCAACTGTGGCAAGGACGGAGGGCTGCCCCTTTTTAACGCTAGCCTGTTTCCCCAGCCCCCAAACCTATGCAAGATGGATGGGGAGGCGGAGGTGAGGAGTTGATCCTCTCCGGAGGTCAGTGGGATGCAGAGGACGGGGACATGTGGAACAGCACCGCTTCCCAGGAGAGCAACTCCTCCGCTAACTCTTGGGGAAACGCACCCAAAAAGATCCCACAAAAGGCACGAGGGCCTGTTCAGAAACAATTCAACCTAAAGTGTGTACTTGTTAACATTGACTGTAATGTTCTGACATTCCAGGTCAAAGTTCCGGGGAAGCCAGAAGATACCTGGATTATGAATCGTCTTATCAAACAACTCACAGACATGGGCTTCCCGGTGAGTTGATATCTTTTATTACATTAAACATTCACATTTTTGAGAGCCGTTATGCTTTCACCCACTCGACCATGAATGCATGAGGAAATTCACGCGTCATTGTGACGTGTTCCCCAGCGGGATCCGGCAGAGGAGGCTTTAAAGAGCAACAACATGAACCTGGACCAGGCCATGAGTGCCCTGCTGGAGAAGAAGACCGAACTGGACAAGCGGGGGATGGGGATGGCCGGACACGACTACAACAACGGGCTTATCAATAAACCCTTGAGCTGCCCTCGACCTGCACTTCTCTCCAAAGAACCCTCCTCGGATCCCCGCTCATCCTTCATGGATAAAGTGAGTGAAATATTCAGTATTTTGCAATGATATATGTCGTCCCCCACCCATTTTCGAACCTCATGGCGGTGGAAGTGAAGCAGATTTTCTTCACATTTGTAAGGCATTGTGTGCTGTTTGTCCAGCAAATGCAGAGTGGAATGTTTGGTGGTGGAGCAGCACAAGCCCGGGCCATGCCCCAGCCGCCTCCTCAGCCGCCAGTGCCGCCTCTCGGCTCCTCTCAGCCTAGTCTACGCGCTCAAGTGCCTCAGTTTCTCTCCCCTCAGGTAGATGCACGTAAACACTCGAAAACAAGCTCCCAGTCACGACGCTGATCGGGGTGCAGTGGACCTCGCGTAAACCCAAGAGGATCACAAACGCCACTGACACATTAGCGCCGTGCGTTTATTTCGCGTTGTCAACGTGATGATGGTATCGATCCACAGGTTCAAGCACAGCTCTTACAGTTTGCAGCAAAAAACATTGGTCTGAATCCTGCACTTTTAACCTCGCCAATAAACCCTCAACATATGACCCTTCTGAATCAACTCTACCAGCTGCAACTGGTGAGTGTCATTTTTGACTCGTCCCAGGTTGTATTTCTTTCCTATTAAAAGTGTCACCGAGTGGCATTTTCTCCATCTTTACCCGTGAGAATAAAACTGGGGCATATGGTTGACTTCACAGGCTTACCAGCGTTTACAAATTCAGCAGCAGATGTTACAGGCACAGCGCAACGTTTCCGGACCCATTCGACAACAAGAGCAGCAAGTTAGTTTGAACTTGACTCTCACTTTTCTCTGTAAATATTGTGAAATATTTTCATACTTACCATGTGAACATTTTAGACGGTTGAGTTGTGAGAAGCAAGGGAAGAAAACAAAATGTATAAAAAAAATATTCTTCGGTGATCGTTCCAGGTTGCACGTACAATCAATAACATGCAGCAGCAGATCCAACAGCACCAGCGTCAGCTGGCCCAGGCTCTGCTAATGAAGCAGCAACAGCAGCAGCCTCCCCACTCCCACACGGGCCTACATCACGGCGGGACCAAATCCACCCTTGATTTATTTCCAGGCCACCCCCAGGCTCCGGGCCTCCCTGACCTGCAGACCAAAGAGCCGCAGTCTTCTCAAAACACCTACAGCCCGTATTCGCTCTGTGAGTGATTTTTGACTCGCCGCGTGAATCGCACGAGGGGTGCACTAACCCCTGAAATTGATCGAAAGCAATCGTGTCTGTCTTTCTCCCCCAGCTGGACTGAATCCAAACATGAATGTAAACTGCATGGAGGTGGGCATGTCGATGAAGGATTCACCCCAGCCTCAGTCGCGCCTGTCACAGTGGACGCACCCCAACTCCATGGAAAGCCTCTCTGGAGGCTCCTCTCCCTTGGAGCCCAACCTGAGCAAACATGGTGAGGAATGAGAAACATTTATCTTCGCTAGACTTGTTGGGCAGTAATTGTAAAACTGGCTGCTACTTGACAATGCTCCGCGTTTGAGTCGAGTTGCCATGTTTCCACATTCCAGGTACCACCCTGGGCCCTCCTGGCAAGCCTCCCCAGCTGGATGACTCATACAGCCCCTATAACCTGATGTCCAGCTCGGAGTCTCCCACCAGTCCTCTTGTGCCCCCAGACAGTTGGGGTCAAGGGAAGGGCAGTAGTGACAAGATGGCCAACGGGACGAACATCAACTGGCCGCCAGGTGCGACAAGCGTTCTTCCTGTGCTGCTGTTGTCGCTTCTTCAATATCCACGAAATATTTCACGCTTGTGAAATGGAAGCTCGTTTGCAAACTTTGACTCGACATTTTGCAGAGTTCTGCCCAGGCGTTCCATGGAAGGGTCTCCAGAATATCGACCCGGAGACGGACCCCAACATGACGCCTGGTAGTGTCCCAAGTGGTCCCACTATCAACACTAATATCCAAGATGTCAACCGCTACCTGCTGCGAGACAGAAGTGCAGGTGAGGGAGTTGAGCGAAACGCTGTGCTATAGTTAAGATTGTGTCTAAATATTTTTTTCAATCTTCCATCTTGATTCAACTATGGCAAAGCGCCGCCACCAGAGTCTGCTTCTTTACTCTTTTGTTGTCCATTCTTCCGTTTAAAACTGCTTCTCCAATCATTGTTTGTACTCTTTAATTCTGTTCTGTTCTTAATCTCGTCATTTCTTATGCCTTTTTCTTTTATGCCATTTTCTCTCTGCCGCTTCCCTTCTTTGTTTTGTTTTTTTGTGTCCTTGTTTGTGCGCTGCCATCGGCTCAGGCTCTTCCCCCACTTCATCTCAGAACGAGGCTCTGCCTCCCTCCTCTGATTGGTCAGTCAGTGCCTACACTAGCTCATTCAGTCTGTCGTCCCCGGAGACAGACGAAACAGGTACATGGCTCACCGATAACACCCCCCTCCACCCCCGTCTCCCCCATATTGCAGCGGATAAACGACTGCAAATCAAAACTATCCATTCCCTCCCTGTATTACAACACCATGAGTCCCACCGTTCACTGGAGAGCACCCCCAGCCTGCCTGTCAAGTCATCTCACCTGATTAAATAGGACTCATTAGAGCTTCCATTTTGCCAGCTTGCCTCTCCCTGCAGTGCACAACCCCCCCCCCCCCCACTCCCCTCCCTGTGGTGTTGGTGACCCTCCCTCCTACTTCTGCATGGGGAAAACACTACAGTGTGACTTGACATTTAACCTACTGGTCTGTTTGACTGATTAAGGCACCGTAAAAGCGTTTTAATTTGCATGAAAGATGAGTAAGCAGGTCTCTTACCAAGGCAGAGTTGTTACATGACGACCACATAGAAACACGTGTGCTGTAACTATATCAGGGAGCTCAGAACGGGTTGGAAGTCGATATTTTGAACTCTGATTGTGATGTTTGTGATTCTGATGAGCTTTTCCTTCACTTTATTCATTTGGTTCTGTCGTACAAACATTTTTTTTTTGTATGTCTATCCAGGTAAACTGTCAGAGATGAAATCCACTTGGTCCCCAGGTCCCATCTCCCACAGTCAGGCCTCTCTTTCCCATGACATGTGGAAGGTTCCACAGGGACCCCGGAGCAGCTCTGCAGCCCCCTCCCGCCCGCCGCCCGGCCTCACAAACACCAAGCCGTCCTCAACGTGGGGGGGCAACTCTCTGGGTCTGTCCCAAGGCTGGAGCAGCTCTTACACCACGGGTATGTCGCACCTTACGGTTAACATATACAAAAAAAAAATTAAATTAAAATACATAAGATTTAATTGGAATGAATTGTAATTTCAGTGATTTTTTTATTTAAATTTTAAGATTCCCAACAACCATAAACTGAGAATTGGACACAAGATTCCTCTCCTCGCCTTCTGGTCCTTTATAGACTCGCATCCACAATCACTATTGAGATACTGACTCTCGAGAATTAAAAAAAAATAATAATAATAATAAAATTGTAATACCCCAACATGTCACAAGATGCCGCCAAAGCCCTGCCATATAGTAGCTGAGCTAAGTTTTGCTTCACGTTGTGTATGTTTTTTTTTTTTGCTCTGCTATCAACACACTTCCAGTGCATTTTCCGAAATCAATCTCTTTTGAATTTTACCCACAAGCCACATTTTAGTCGAGGAAGCACACTCCCGTAGCGTTGGCCCTTTCAGTTCAATAACACACCATCCGCTCTCCTTCTGCAGCAGGCACCACGTGGAGTACAGACAGCTCTCCCAGGACCAGCAGCTGGTTGGTTCTGAGAAACCTTACTCCACAGGTAAGAAAACTCCCGCATCCCCCCTGAGCCTGCGAGCACTCGACGCACGCTTGCGGTTAGGTTGCACTGTTGACCTCACCCTCTCTGCGGCAGATTGACGGTTCAACTCTGCGTACACTGTGCATGCAGCACGGCCCGCTCATCACATTCCACCTCAACCTGACACAGGGCAACGCTGTAGTGTGCTACAGCTCCAAGGACGAAGCTGCCAAGGCTCAGAAGTCCCTGCACATGTATGTCTTTTTTTCCCCCCCAGCTCCGAGGCGATCGGTCCTCAGGAGATGGGAGTGTTCTCATTCGCGGGGCTCTTTGTGTCTGTGTCCAGGTGCGTGCTTGGGAACACCACCATTCTCGCCGAGTTTGCCGGAGAAGAGGAAGTCAATCGCTTCTTTGCACAGGGCCAGTCGCTCGGCGGGACAACCAGCTGGCAGGCCACTCCGGGCGCCAATCAGACGAGGATGGGCGGGGCCGGGTCGGGAGCCTCTCACCCCATCGGCCACACCCCCCACTGGAACAACAACAACAACGGCAGCGGAGGCTCCGGTGCCGCAAAGGCGGGCGGCGATCTGCTGTGGGGTGGCGTGCAGCAGTATTCCAGCCTGTGGGGGCCCCCTAGTGGAGAGGAGGGTCGGGTGATGGGAAGTCCCAGCCCAATCAATACGCTGCTGCCTGGAGACCTGCTGAGCGGGGAGTCCATATAAGGACAACGGAGCAGAAACCTTGCAAAATCAAGATGGAGATAATCAGCATGGGAGTAACCAATGAAGGTGAGGGAGAAGGTGTGACGTGTCCATATCCTCGCTACTCCACCTCATCGCCTTCCTGTGCTCCCCCTTTTTTGGGGGGAGGCGGTGTGGGCTCAAGTTGCAGTTCTGTGAAGTGAAAAGTCACAGCGTTGAGCTTTTACACTTGGAGACACAGGAAGATGTCTTTTATTCATATTCAAAAAAAAAAAAAAAAACAAAAAAAAAACTTTTTACACGCGTCAACGCGTCGAGTGAAACGTGTACATGTACCGTCGCAGTGACGAGCTGCCATCTTTAACTCTGCTTAATCCCTCTCTGCCTTTCCGAGGCAATCATACTGCACCTCAGAGACTCGCGAGAAGGCATCATTCCCAAAGTTTAAAAAAAAAAAAAAGTCAATCAGAGCACTGGTTGTACTCTTCGGCTGTTCTGGACTCTTAGCACTAATCTTGGCCTTAACCTCGTTCCCACCCTTCTTCCCTCACTCACTCCGTAACTCGGTGAAGAAGCATACGGACCCTTGCACACCCCCTTATCTCTGAGCCAGTGGAAGTCGAGCGGAGAGTACATGCTGCTGCGGCCTAACGGAAGCAACCACAGCTCCCGTCTACAAACAGTGCAGAGCCCCCCCCCCCACACTCAAACGCTCTCAAAGGGAATGATGCAACTCTGTTCGCCTTGTTCAAGCCATTTATTTTTGTAGAGCATTTTGTTTTCTTTCTTGAACCATTGCAAACAAATTTTTAAAAAATGCTTTTATTCAAACATGTTCGGGGGGGGGTATGTGGGGAAGATGTGACGGAAAAAACAAAATGAACCACTGCTATTACCATGGAGCTGTAACAACTAGAAGGAAAAAAAAACAAACAAACACTTGGATGCACTTCAACTGGCAGTTTGGTCGCTGACCTTTTCACTGCACCTCAAGACAGGAAGAAAAAAAAGGTATGCGTTAGGTGCCACCACTCCAGCCACCGCCCTTTTTGTCACAAAACAACCATTTCAAGCGACGTGCAATATAAGCCACAACAGACTGTACCGTCCACGCTCCCAACTGATCGACGGGAGAACCACCACCTGCAACAACCCTCGACTATAACTGCCACTAAATACCCTCAACCCCCTCCGGCTGCGAGTGTGTACGTGTGTATGTGGAGAGTAGCAACCTTGTCTGTCTGATATTCAAGGACACTCACTTAAAGCACTTCTCAGCAGACGACAGGTGTGTGTGCGTGTGTGAGAGAGTGTGCGTGCGCACGCATGAATGTGTGTAGAGAGAAGGCATCAAACCAAAATGAAAGGCGCCTCTTTACTTTTTTTTTTTTTTTTTGGCCCAAATGAATGAAGTCCATGTGAAAGGCCCGGTATGTCATAGCACTTATCAAGAGCGTCCCACGCCCACTGTGCCCCGCTGATGCTCACCCACCCGCACCCATCAACGCCAAGATAGCGAAAAAGAGAAGCGACACTGGCATGGAAAGTGACTGACTTGCTAAGTGGCTTCAAATTTAACCCGGGTGTGAAGATTTCGTTTCATGCCTGGGGGGTCAGGCTGTACATGGTAGCAAAATGAACACAACCGAAGGGATAATGATGGTGGGAGGGGGCCGCAGGGAGACAAACACACCCCCTCAACTTCCTTGCCATCTTAAAAAAAAAAATTTTTTTTTTTGAAAGCCTTGATTCCTGGGGAGGCGTGTTGTACTCACGTCAGTGGAGGCCAGCCAGTGTGGCCGCTGAGTGCCTGCTTGCTTGCAGGGCGCCGCGCTCCGCAAGCAGATCCCAACTCCCCCGCCCACCGCCGCCGCACCCGACGCCCTCCTCTTTGTTTAGGCCGAGAGCAGCCCCACCTGTATTCAGTGTACTACTACTATTCTACTACTACTACTATTACTACTACTACTACTACTACTACTGCTGCCCTCAGCAACCTCCACTTTCACTCTGAGATGCAGCCCCCCCTGCCAAACATCTCCAATCCTCAAGCCACCTTTACTACCAAGGCAGCTTCCCGTCAGAAAGACCACCTGGACGCCCAATTGCGCTTCAGTCTAGTGCCAACTGACATCCAAATATCATGATCATGTGACGACGCCTTCTTTTGCTGCATGGTGGGAGGAGGAGGAGGAGGCCATGCTGCTTTTTTTTTTTCACCACCAGGAGGAGGCAGTTTTGCGTCTGTGCGCTGTTTATAGGTCACATCGGGTACATCTCTTTTAAAAACCAAAATACAAGATTTTTGTTTTGTTTTTTTGCATAAACTCAAAAGGAAACTACAAAAAATGTTTTAGAGCTCTGCACTCCTAATCTGAGACGTGTCTCCTGTGTTTCTATAAGCCTTCGCCTTCTCAAGCTCACCTTGGAGCTCTTCCTTCAGGCCGAGAGCAGCCCCACCTGTATTCAGTGTACTACTACTATTCTACTACTACTACTATTACTACTACTACTACTACTACTACTGCTGCCCTCAGCAACCTCCACTTTCACTCTGAGATGGAGGCGTTTTTGTTTTTTTCTTTTTATCACGTATTATTGTTGATATTTGCTGTCACTGTTTTTATCATTGCTGATCGATGATATCATGGCTTTATGCAGTTTCCAATCCCTCGCTCCCTTCAAAACGGACGACTTGTATACATGTGAGCCCGCTTCCTGTGTCCGTCCGGCTCGGATGTGGTGGTGTTGGGGAGGGGCGGGGGTTTTTTTTCACCACCAGGAGGAGGCAGTTTTGCGTCTGTGCGCTGTTTATAGGTCACATCGGGTACATCTCTTTTAAAAACCAAAATACAAGATTTTTGTTTTGTTTTTTTGCATAAACTCAAAAGGAAACTACAAAAAATGTTTTAGAGCTCTGCACTCCTAATCTGAGACGTGTCTCCTGTGTTTCTATAAGCCTTCGCCTTCTCAAGCTCACCTTGGAGCAATTCAGGCCTCCAACCTGAGGGTGGCGCCAGCTTGAAATAGGAACACGTCTCAAGTTCGGTACCAAGTCTTAATGTTTTTTTTTTGTTTGTTTGTTTTTTTGTAAATGTGTTCCACTCTTCCAGAGTCACTTTTTAGACTTGTCATTCAACAAAACAATCACTAATGCCTGTGTTGTTTGTTTTGTTTTGATGTGCGTTTACTCCACACTGGACTTGATTCAAGGAACCACACTCTGAGTGGGACGGTCAGACCGGGTGACCAGTACGCGGGGTCGGATCTCAAATGTGCCCCGGATTTCTCGGCACAGCACCAGCAGTGAGGGCCCCGTCCCCTTTTATCACCTACCAAAGCCCCTGCTTGTGTTGGAGGTCAAATATGCGCCTCTCTTTTGTTTGTGTTTTTTTCTCCCCCTAAACCTTTTTTTTTAACAAAAAGTTGCACGAACTCAAACGTGACTGGAACAAAAAGAAGAAAAAAAGCGTCTCAATCATTGATCAGACAAGAGGGGTCTGAGTGTCCCCCCCAAAAAAGAGAGAGTTGACTCAGCAAAGCTGTATTTAAAGCAAGGGTGGGCAACCTTTTTCCATTTTTATAAAAGTCCTCCAAGGGGTTAAATGAAATTTAAGAAGAAAAAAAGTATGATTGAAAAAATGTTTATTGTCTGTTTCTTTGGAGCATTTGGGGGCTTTTCTAAGAGATTTTATAGAATGACATGGCTGAAAAAAAAAATTCTCACAGGGTTCCCCGACCCCGACTTTAAACAAATGCCTGGGTTGAATATGCACATGCAAGTTCAGACGCATCTCGGTCCAGATTTATGTGAGTTTATGTGTATGTGGCCCCCACGTACCCTCCCGAACATTGACGAGATCATAAACATATCAGACAAATACAAAATAATGAAAACAAATACTTGAATCAAAAGAAGCGCCAATAATGTAATGTGAACACTTTTTCCGAGTTATTTTTGTTTCCAATTCAAGAAACGTTGAAAAGGATCGACTTTGAAAAGGCAAAACAAAACGTGTGTGAGTGGGAGTGTTTGCACAAGGTTGCTTGTACTGTACGCGAGCGTGTCGGCCATTTTAGTTAGTTTCTTGTCAAACTCAGTATTGTTCTGACTTTAGCCTCTCTAGCGTTGCACTGAGTGTCCTCATCCAGCTAAACCCAACGACATGACACAAATACCGAAGGGGGGCGGGGGGACAGTTCACGTGTACGTGTTTACTCAAGGACTAAAAAGAATACGTGTTTTTTTTTTTTTAATGTCATTTTTATCTACCTTTAGTGGCTTTCATTGTGAACAATAATCCAAGGAAAGTATGAGTCGTATTTGAGTATTGCACCATTTTTTTCAGACTATGGGGTGTATCAGAAAAGTTCCAGGACTTTTTTTTTCTTTTTTTTTTTGCCGCCCAGTGTAGGCCACATGATCAACGAGCACGCCGGAAGAGATCTTGTGGAGTTTGCTTTGTTCAGTGTGTAAGAAGAGCTCTGAGCATCTGACACTTCCTGGCGGAGAAGACTGCAAATTTGAAAATTACTTGTGGCACCGTTCCTGGGACATTCCTGATACACCTCGTATAAATTTTTAAAAAAAGAAAGAAAATGGACAAACAAAAAAAGTATTTGACAGACCTGTGGCCATAGATGTTTGGGGGTAGAAGGACTTCTGCTGTCTGAGGTGCCTACCTTTTTTTTTTTTGTTTTTTTTCTCACACGCTCATTTCATTGTAACTCGTCAGGCCACTGACAGTTTACAAAACACTTGTGTTTTCTTCTGGAGTTCCAAAAGAATTAAACGATGGGAATGTCAGGGGGGAAAGGGGTAAAAAAAAAAAAAAGAAAAAAAATTAAAAATGATAAAAACGACAACAAAAAGAGAGGACAAATGCTTCCATTTTTCAAAGTGCAACACAGAATGAAGCGTTCTCGTGTTTCAGAACTCTGGGATCGAACAGTGTTGTTTCGTTCTGTGTTTCTGTTGGACTATCAGAAAGCGTGTATGTTTTTATGTTGAGTATCTATTTTTGACTTTATACAAAACAAAACGAGAAACACCAACAAAACAAAAAGACAAAAAAAAAAAAAAAGATAATTGCTCACTATCTTGCACACATGAAAAAGTGGATCTCGTCTCAGGAAGGCCAGGGTTCCAGCGTACCAACTCCACGTCATTTTAATGTACATTTTGAAGACAAATATTACGAATCATCTAAGCACTGAAAGTTATGGATTTGAGAAGGAGGAGCAAATACCTGACGTTTCGAAATCCGTAGCAGTTACATAATAACCAAATAATGGACTTTTAAATGAATATGGAGTGCTTTATATATATATACATATATATATATATAAAGATATATAGATCTATAATCTATATATTAAAATTGCTTTACATTTCAAAACAGAAAATGCGAATTGTTAAAAAAAAAAAAAAAAAGGCAGTGAATAAAAGATGCAAAATGCTGTTTAGTTGTTCTTGAGGTCCCATCCTGACTGAATCAGGAGCGTCGTGCATTATTCTCTTACCTTTTTTCTGTGTGTGAGGGGGGGGGGGGTCATGAAAAGCTGAGTTTTTGCGGAACATTTGGTCAGAATGCTTGTGAAAACGAGGAGCTGGTTGTAAAGGAACACGAAACTATGCACAAGTGTCGGGGGGAGCAGAGGATGGCGATTTCATGGCCTACATTGGTGTGTGGCTGATTTATTACAGGGGTTTTGTTGTTGTTGGGGGGGGGGGGTTCCAGTATGTGTATTGTTCATTTTGATGTTTTTGTCCCCTGATTCCGATCGACCTAGCGTTACATCGCCATGCTGTGTATTCCGAAAAACCAATGAGCGTCTCACTCTTTAGCACTGTGGGATTCCAGCCTGTCACCCTCAAGGTTTTTATGGGGTTTAGTTGTTTTTGTTTTTTTTTCGGGGGGGGGGGTATCAGCGGGGGTTTGGAATTAGGGCTGCTTTTTTTGGGCAGGGGTATTCAGAAAAAAAATGTCTGTACTGAGATTTAATGATTTTCAAAGTCAGTGGCTTGTAATGTTTTCTTTTTGATTTTTCTCTCTCTGTATATCTTTCTCCTCATAGAATGTGATTGTTCAAACAACATGCACCGAAAAACAAATGTTTTCATGAACTATGGAGCTTCTTTCAGATATTAATAAAATAGCATTTTTTTTCTCGGCTGTTTAAGAAAAAAAAAGTGCTCTCTGTTTTGGGGTGGGGGGGGGGGTCAATTATTTTTAAACAGTCACGACAGGCTTATAAAAAGACTCCTGAATCACGGGTCACCCAACCTGACAAACCGACGGCTACTTCTTGGATACGGCCTTGACGTTTTCAAGCGAACACTTCGACATCGAACCGAGAGAACCACGGTTACCGCACGAAATAAAGTCATGATAATGTAAGCTTATGTTATATCAATTATTATAATTTTATGTTTGAGCATTATATTATTTCACGTTAAGAACACCTAATTTATATTCCGTCGTGTAATAATTGCTTAGACGTGTTTTTATGTTGATAGCGTCTGATTGGCGGAAGAAAAAAAGCAGGAAGTGTTTTCGTTGGTAGGTGTGTTCTCGATCGTGCTGCGGTTTCAATAAAGCTACATTCAAACGGAATCCCCTCCTTTTGCCGTTCGTAAAGTAGAGCCGTCCGTTAAAAACAACGAGCCCCTCAATTTACAATAATAAGCGTTAAATTTGTCTACCTGCGCATTAAATTTGCTGTCGAACGGTCATGTGCCACTGATGCAAAATTATTGTGTGGGAATTCCATTCAGGCTCTGAGGGCGATGTGTCTCGGGCAGGCGTAGTCGTTGTCTTGTGTTTGTCTCACGAGCGTGTTTGCATACAATGGAGACGTGACCTCATCCAGAGCATCCTGCTTGTTTGGGGGCACGCCCGAGTTTTGCTGCTTCCTGGTCATTTCCTCATAAACGGGGACAGCAGGTGGCCCCGTGGCAGGAGGACGCCTTGCCTTCACCTAAAACGCATTTCACAAGTTGTTCGGCTTTCACCCGACGACAGAAGACCCTATGATTTTTTTTTATTTTTTATTTTTGGCTCTTTGGGTTTACTCACACGTTCTCCCACGGCAAGCCACAAGAGTATGATCAGAATGAGGCCCGTCGCTGAAAAGATGGTCATGAGCAGAGGGGGGTAGCTTGAAGAGCACCGACATGGCATCCCTGCACAAACACACTCGGTGAAAAATGACGTAATCGTATTGATAAATAAATAAATAAATAAGCCTGTTCACAATACATTTATTTTATAGTGTAGTCCTTCTGAAACTCAGAGGAAAAATAGCACACTATAAAACTATACTTTGTTAAAACATATACTGTCGTATTAACATAAATGAAATGTGAAAATTTTGTAGCTCCTTCTGGTGTGTGTGCGCGCCTTGGTCAGCTGGGAGTAGTATAATACAGATCTACTGAACATAAGGATGGTAACGAGTAACAACTCACTAAGTTGCAGTTGTACGAGTCATTCTTCACAGAGGATAAAGAATAGATGACTGTGAGTATTGCTTTCTTGTTACATATTTGTATATTTACCACCGTGGCTATTAATGCCTTCTGTTAGCCCAACCGTGGTGTTTTGTATCTTGTTTTATGTTTAGCGTGACAGCAAACTTCAGCTAGGCCAAAACTGTTGCTCGTTACGAAATGAGTTAAGTTCACTGACGCCACATAGCACTCATTGCTAAAAGTAAAAACAAAACAAAAATCAAGTCAGGTCACTTGTATCTCAAGGCACTACGGTATTTCCAACATGCAAATTCCACACAGGATGGCCCGCAGTACCGAAGCTTAATGTCCAAAAAAATCAGTTTGACACTTCCAGGCCACTCTCGCCCTCCCTTCAGCGTACACGGAAGTTAATTTTCTTACCTGAGGCGTCGACCAGCAAGAAGAGCTGAGTGATGAAGACGCGCTCCGAGCCGTTGTCTCGTTTTTCACACACATACAGCCCCGAGTCCCTTTGCTCCAAATGCGACAGGATAACCTTGACCCGTGTGCCATTGCTCCCTGCGGACACCAGCAAGCGTGTCTTGTAGTCGGGGTCCAGCCTGAGCTCATCGTCACCCCCCCGAGCCAGGGACAGCAGGGTGGTCTGAGCGGGGCCTCGGCGGTGGTACACGTGTAAACTTGTCAGGTCGCCGTGGTCCTTCTGAGAGGGGCACGAGAGCTCCAAAGACTGCTTTTCCGACAGCTGCATGAAGCTCACATCTGCGTTGACTACGTCCACACAGAAAAAAAAAAAACAACCAAATATTTAAAGGAGCAAAAATCATGACATTAAACTGAAAATAAACACCCATTCTTACCCTTTAAGAGCCAAACGGCGACAACAACGAACGCGATGCTGGCCTTCATGTTGGTCTTCCACATTTTTACACTAAAGCTCAGCCACAATGAGCCCCCTACCGTTTCCTGCCTTCGCTTTATTTGTTGTTCTTTGCCGCAAAGCAGGAAGAAACATCACAGCCGCGACTGGCCTCCCCCTGTGTGGAGTTTGCATATTCTCCCTGTACCTGCATAGGCTCCAGCACGCCCTGCGACCCTCGTGAGGATAAATGGATGGATGGATTTTTTAATGCTTTTACCAGTCCTGCCCCCTTGATATTACATTGGCTGGATTAGCCAAAATGAGTTTGATACCTTCTGTTAAATGTGGTCTACACACCTAGCGATCAGATTATCTGGAGTGTCATCTCAAGTTGTGCGTGCATGCGTGTGGGCGCCATCAGTGGATAATAGGACTCAGGTGCGGAGTTCCGAGGTCACCTGACTGGCTTTCCAATAAAAAAAGGTTCCCAGATGACGACTGCCGAAGCTGGCAGGTCTTTGTGCAGGAGGAGCGTTTGCAGCCAGAGGCACCTCAGTAATGGCAGCTTTACTCCTTGTTCTCTTCTTGTCAAGTGTGACCCACTCATTGGCTAGTCGTGACCTTCCGTTAGCGAAACAGAGTCTTGCGGCTTACCCCCACAAGGACCCCGAACGGGCTCCGGTGGACAAGCGGCAGCCCCTCAACACAGTCCAGGTGACCTGTCACCCGGACTCCCTGGAAATCCTGATCCAAGCTGACCTGTTTGGCGTGGGGGTGCCGGTCCACAATTATGAGGTGCGCCTCGGGGTGGAGCGCGACAACGGCCCCTGCGGTGCTGAGCCGTCCTCCGATCGCGAGTACAGAATACTCGTTGGGTTGCTGGACTGTGGCACCAAATACTGGGTAAGGCTCAACATTGTTTCCCCACCCTTTTGTTGAGGCAAGGGACCCATTTTAAAATATGTCACAGCACACCACTAAAGAAATGTTCCAAAAAGTATCAAGACCGAAATGATGATCTTCTCTCAGTCGGCTCATAACTGATGAAATCTGCGCCTGTTTAATTGAACGCAAAGCCGATGGCGGGTATCGGCGCCATGTTTTGACATCGGTCACTCACTCCTCTGTCTGATTGGTCGCTCAATATTGTCCACAGATGACTGACGTGTCGCTGGTCTATACCAACCTGCTCATCTACACTCCCGCACCTTCACCCGATGGCCTGATCCGAATGGACGGGGCGGTCGTTCCGATCGAGTGTCACTATGCAAGGTGAGGTGTAATTGGTGTGCGAGTCAACATCTGGGTATGAAGTGGTTCTAACGTTGTGGTTGTATTTAGGCGCTATAGTCTCTCCAGTTCTTCCCTCACACCCACTTGGATCCCCTTCATTTCGACACAAGCTGCAGTGGAAACGCTGGACTTTAAGCTCAGAATCATGACAAGTATTTTTTATTTTTTTTTAATGGTGAGCGTACATATTTTGATTCTATTGATATGCTTGCATAAATTTTGTGGCAGACGACTGGCAGTATGAGAGGGGCGCCAACGTGTACTTCCTGGGCGAGCCAATTTTCATCGAGGCTTCTGTCAGAGTGGGCCATCACGTGGGCCTGCGAGTGTTCCTGAACACCTGTGTGGCCACGCTGCAGCCGGACATCCATTCTCTGCCGAGATATGTCTTCATTGAGAATGGGTAAGTGCCGAAACATGAGTCCGGCGTATTTCTTAGTACGCCTATAAAAGCTATTGAAGGCCAGTACGGAAAGTAGTCTTGACAAAGATCTGCTCTGTCACTATCAGCTTCTGGGTAAACTAAAAAAAAAAAGAAGATGGTCAGCTAGCCACTTCCTGGGTAAAAGATGACTATGTAATAGTACAAGACTACTTTTAAAATATTTAATATAATCGGTGAATAGTTTCATGGATAAAGAAATGCCATGTTTTTTTTTTTTTTTTTTTTGCTGTTGGCTAGGACGCTACCTGGTAATGTGCGATTGTAAAACTTGTGATTTCAAAATAAAATTGTCACAAGTAGAACTCATTAAATACATTTTCCACCTCCTAGCTAGTGTAATACATAAGCTAGAGAAACAAATATCGGCCTTGAATGAGCCATTTTGCCACTTGCTGTCAACTGAAAATGACGTTGGTTCCCAAGGATCGCATGACCAAACCCAGAAAACGGCAGACGACAGCAAGTGGAAAAATGGTCGCCCCTTAGATGATTTAAAAACTGGTAAATCGATCTACATAATTTTCAATTTTTTTTTAAAGTTAAAATGTCAATTAAAATCTCTATGGCTTTTTTTTTTTTTTTTTTTTCTTGAACAGGGGCTTGTTGGATTCCAAGCTTCAGCCCTCAAAGTCTCGCTTCCTCGTGCGAACACAAGATGACAAGCTGCAATTGGTCATTGATGCCTTCAGATTCTACGATGAAGACAGAGGAGAGGTGATTCGTCCTACTTTTGAAATACACTTGGGGTCATTTTAAAAAAAAAAAAAGATCCCTCTTCTTTCCACAGCTGTACATCTCATGCCTCATGAATGCGGTGCCGGCCCATGATACAGAAGCACCCAACAAAGCGTGCACTTTTGTCAAAGGGAGGCAAGTGTTGGTTCATTTTGCATCTACGGTTGCCAGGTCGATCACCCTGGTATAATTTTTATTATATTTTAAGGTGGCGTTCAGCTGACGGCAACGACTACCTGTGTGGGTATTGTCATAGCGACACCGGACAACATCCTAGTAAGGCAGCCAAATTCGGCCCTCGTGGCTTCAGCAAGCAAGCTGAACGAGAATCTCATTGGAGGAGCAGACTCCCCGCTAATGGTATGTTTCAACGTCCCAACCGGCATCCACCGGTTTATTTGACTTTCAATCATTTGATTGTTCTCCCCATCCCAAGGGTGGGAACAGCAGGCAAAAGTGGGTCCCATGTTGGTTCTGCCCGAACAGAAAAGTTGGACAATTCCTGATGAGGAGCTGCCTCCGGTGCTCAAAAAGATCAGCAGGCCTGCTCTGTACGGCAGCCAGTGGATGAGCGGCCTCAACTACTTGAAGGGTGAGTGTGGCTCTAGACTAAGACCATGCGAGTTTCTCTTCTAAAATGTATCACTTCTGCTTCAGACCCAGACAAGGGCCTAATTCCTGGTCTGTTCACCGAAGACCTGGATGATGACTTGGACCACGTCCCCCTCGTTGACCCCACAAGTGAAATGCCTCTGAAAGGTATACCGGACATTTTGTAATGTGAGAACTGGTTCTTACGGCCTTTTCTGATGCAGATGAAGAAGGTGATCTTCCTGAATCGACACCCACCCCGCCAGGCGCACAGGATGACAACTCCACTGAGCTTGTTGACCCTGGGCCGGAGGTGACCGTCACGCCTGTCTCCAACGTGACTGATCCACAAGTTTCTAACACTATAAAGGACCCAAAGAGAAAATAAACTACTTGGAATGCAACTTGATTTGTTTTTAATGGGGTCTGATGAATGTTTATATTTTTTTTACAAAGCATCCAACCTATAGAAATGTTCTGAAGCACTACACTGAGTCAACGATCGTGATGTGTCTGTCGCGAAGAGAACGATGAGAGCCGTGTCATTTTCCTTCTCGCTCTCTCGGTCTCGCTCTCTCCGTTCTCTTTTCGTCGAAAAACGCCTTACAATACATGTTCTTTTTTTTCGGCTAAAAACGCCTTACTATACATGGTATTTTTTTTCGACAAAGCCTTACTTTTATCGGCTTAAAACACCTGACTATACATGGTCGTTTTTTCGGCT